GAGAATCTTGCAGTGATGGCTAGATTGGCACCAGGTGGATATGTCAAGATCGTTGCTGGACATGACCAAGACCTTGGTCATTGTGAACAGCGTGATGTAACTTGGGCTATCTACGAGATTTGTTTTGGAAAAACAAGGCCTCGTCAGGAATTCAAGGATGCAGACTTTGAATTTGATGACTATGGTCCTGAGGACCTGCGTGTTCCACTTACTAGAGCGAACATGCATACCATCAGAGTCTGTAATTATCATGTTGATACACACCGTGCTGTGGATGCCCACTCACTGACAGGAGAACAGACAGCATTGATGCTTTATGAATGTTTTGTCTATGAGGTGGACATCATTTCTGGTGATGCAAATAGCTTAGCCTACAGAATGTCTGGATACAAAAGGCAGCCAATGGCTAACTATTATTATAGCACCATGCAGCATTGGATCCGCAGGTTTTCAGAAGCCCGTGTAAAAGCAGATCCTGGTATCAAAGCACCTATTCCCAGAACATTTTACAGTTCTTCTTCACTTGTCCTCAAGCAGTGTGAAGATTACTTTGATAAACTCTGGGAAGATTACTCCACAGTAGAGAAAGAAGAATACCAGGGATCACAGCTTGGAGATACATGTTTGTCTACCATTGTTGAATGGGGTCATTCAATGAGTGAAGAGGAATATACAAATTCCACAGTGAGCACGAAGGAGTTCATCTGTAATTTTTCAGAGAACTTTGCTATGATTGACACAGAGGTTATGTGCTCAAGGCCCACTGACGAGGACAGTCATGGTCCAATGTTTATCTCACTCAGACCAGCTTCCTTTTCATCTGGAGACAGAAGACAGTATCGCATGGGAGCAACTCTTCATGAGGCGAAACTGCGGAGGAAGGAGAGACAGAAAGAGAATAAAAGGAAAGGTAGGCCGCCAACTTCTGATCAAGCAGCTTCATCGACTGCAGCGGCATGAATTCAGAGCGGAGGCTAACTTTTAATGATAACTAGGAAGTGAAGATACTCCTGATCACAGTTGATACTTTGCTTCCAAGCTTGACTTTGAGTTGCCAGGCTGAAGTTTTAATGAACTCTGGTTTGCAACAAGGAGAAACTTTTTGTCAAAGAAGATACTCCTGCATTCCAGGTTTATACGCTTTAGCATGCAGATAGGTATGGACAGTTTTGCATAACTGATGATATCTATCACAGCCGCTTTTTCTGAGGTGACCTCTAATGGACAACCATTCATGGTTGAGGATTAAGTCATTTCATAAGTTTGCATTTGTAGTGCAAGTTTTGTACATACATTTGCCGGTGTCTCCTTCCTTTTTGTTTTTGGTGTCAATGAGAAAGAGTCCTTTTGATGCAGTTCCATTTTTATTTAAGTCCTGTGTATGGAAGCGGCCGAGACCACTTTTAGAGAAGAACACTCCTCGGACCGAGAGTTGACGCTCCTTGCATTTTGCAAGGCATCCTAACTCATTGCAATTTGTGCGGTCTTGAATTTTTAGTTCTTCGTTACGCGAGTGTCGTTTACTGCTTTTACAGGTCTCTGTGTAAGAAAGCCGCTTTCCCTTGAATTTAAGTTTCTTTGAAGCTCTGGCTATTTAAGGGCTAGTGAGCGCCGGTACACGGTATCTTCGCCGGTGAACAATACAGTCTCCAGCCGAGGTACATTGTCTCTGACTTTGTATTTGAGGTGAGTCAGCTATTGCTCCCTCACTGTATTTAGTAAACCTAGAGATTACCTTTTCTAAAGTGTGAAACACACTGGAATTGGTAAGTACAGGGCACCGTGGTTTCCTTTTAAGCTTAATAGAGCTTGCTGGACTGTTTTAGCCTTGCGGTAGAAAATAGTATGCGACATACGCAAATAGGCAGGAGTGGACATGAATTTTGTGCCTGCTGAAAGGTAGAGCCTACTTGTACAGGTTCCACTCCAGTGGCCTATCTAGTGTGTCCATGCTTGACTGCCATAAGGCTCAAGGGATATAGGATAAGACTCTGCGTGAGCAAAAGACACTAGCGGTCTGCACCTCTACCGTGTACGCCCTAGTCACTCTTTCACCCCCTCCCCACCTCCCCCCCCCCTCCCCCCCGGTAGTGGTGGTGGTAGTAGCAGTAGTAGCAGCAGTAGTAGGTAGTAGGTAGTAGGTAGTAGGTGGTACGTAGTAGGTAGTAGATAGTAGGTAGTAGGTCATAGGTCGTAGGTGGTAGGTCGCAGGTAGTAGGTAGTAGGTAGTAGGTAGTAGGTCGTAGGTCGTAGGTCGTAGGTAGCAGGTAGTAGGTGGTACGTAGTAGGTAGTAGGTAGTAGGTCGCTGGATCAGAATAGACAACCATTGGACTGAGACATGTCGATCGCTGGATCAGAATAGACAACCTCTGATTCGGATTCGTTCCAGTTCATTGTAAAACGACTTCGCTTGAAATCCACAGCAACAAACTCTCCCAGCAAAATGTGCAACTCCAATGCACCCACAAGTCTGATTGAGCAGGGTATTGTTGTTCGATGTCATTCTGGGTCTTTCATTTCAAACGGTTTGGAGAAAAGAACGACAGATCATGCAAGATCTAGAAATTCTTCGGTCGCTTAGCCTTCTGTGTGTGAAAAAGAATATCTGGTGCGTGTCGCAATCCCTCGAGATGGTCGAAAAGAAGATCTGAAAAGGAAACATGCACACGGCCAAGTAGTTTGGAAGAAGAGTCGTTTTCAAGGTCATGTTTTGTGGATAGTCTTGGTTCGCATTGCTTGTGTTGGCTTCACTTGGTTCCTCTTAGGTGATTCGACTGAGACATGCCGGTTCGGATCGCTGGATCAGAATAGACAACCTCTGATTCGGATTTGTTCCATTTCATGGTCAAACAACCTTGAAATAAACATCAACAAACTCACCCAGCCAAATGTGCACCTCCAATGCACCAACAAGTATGCTTGAGCAGGGTATTGTATCATTAAGCTGCCTGCCAATGCGGGCTCGAGCTGGTGGCCGGCGGCATGCCGAAGGCTGTAAATAAGAGCAATACAAGTCACACTCTAAAAGCAAGAAATAGGGCTTTGCAGGGGGGGCTGCGTGGAATTAGATTACTACATCCAAAAACTTTTTGGTAAATACCTAACTTTATAGATTTAGACATGTTTGTAGTACATAGTTGAATGAACAAATTTGCTTACCCACTGCACATAGAGCAAGAAAATCACAAGTTTCACAATCCTGTCAATGTGATATCATCTCCAGAAAAGAAAATAAACCTTACAAAATCACAACTTTCACAACCCCACCCCCCATGACTACCCGCTCTCAACTTTTAACCGCGTAAGTCAACAAGAATGCAGAAGGTGAGACCCTTTGATAAGGCCGTGTTTACATGGCCCCCACAAGCCTCTTCTCTTCTCTTTTTTCTGTTCTCTTCTATCTTCTCTTTTCTCTCTTCTCTCTTCTCTCTTCTCTTCTCTTTTCTCTTCTCTTTTCTCTTCTCTTTTCTCTACTCTTTTCTCTTTTCTTTTCTCTTCTCTTCTCTCTTCTCTTCTCTCTTCTCTTTTCTCTTCTCTTTTATCTTTTCTTTTCTCTTTTCTTCTCTTTTCTCTTCTATTTTCTCTTCGCTTTTCTCTTCTCTTTTTCTCTTCTCTTTTCTCTCTTCTGTTCTCTTCTCTTTTCTCTTCTCTTTTCCCTTATCTTTTTTCTGTTCTTTTCTCTTTATTCTCTTCTCTTTTCTCTTCTCTTTTCTCTTCTCTTTTCTCTTCTCTTTTCTCTTCTCTTTTCTCTTCTCTTTTCTCTTCTTTTTTCTCGTCTCTTTTCTCTTCTCTTTTCTCTTATCTTTTCTCTTCTCTTTTCTCTTCTCTTTTCTCTTCTCTTTTCGCTTCTCTTTTCGCTTCTCTTTTCTCTTCTCTTTTCTCTTCTCTCTTCTCTTCTCTTTTCTCTTCTCTTCTCTTCTCTTCTGGTTTGATTCGTCTTCATCCTCAGGGATGGGACAGTGAGTTGGACTTTCAGGAGTCATGGTGATGGTAATTCCTGACACACAAGCACCAAGTGCAAGGAGCTAAAGGCAACACTGTCGAGAAGTGTGATCCTTTCCACCTGTTAAAATCACGACCCCCCCCTAATAAGGAAACCTCGGTCGCATTTTTTACATAGAGAGTCCCTGAAATCGGGGTTGTCCAAAATAGGGTCACCTGGGAAGAGCTTCAAACCAAAAGTCACCCAGTATATGTTTATATAAAAATCCTTTATTGAACTCGTATCAAAAATTCAATAAACCTCCAGATCGAAGGGTCTTCCTTTTCCCCTACAAAAAACCTTTATTGGCCCAATTTAACCCCAAAAAAAAGACTCCCCCAAAATCGGCCATGTTGGTAGTTTTGTAGCGGCTTTAAAGGGCGGAAATTTAAAAACAAATATATATATATATAAACCGTATTTAGGGGTTCCGACATGATGTTTTTTCAATGGGGTCCGTTTCTAAATAGGTATTAATAGGTAGTGTTTCAATAGGTACTTGGGATTGGTGGACTCTGGATGCCTGTGTGTAGAATGGTGACAGGACAATGGGCTGACAGGGAGAAGTGCCTCCTGCCAGTTGCGGCCAGTTCCAACTACAGCTACTTTGTGATTGGTATATATAAAAAATCACGAACCGTCAGACAATTGGCCAGTAAGCTACATCATAGATGCTTTTGGGCGTGGAACGATTGAAAATTCTGCCCAAGTGTGCATGTATGCCACAAGTGCCGGGCGCCACGCCCCTGATCAAACCTGGTTGGCTAGCGGCTAGCGGCTAATGAAATTCACTTTTCACATGTGATATGAATGGGGTCTTTCTTCTGTGCGGGTCGCCGCGAGTGTGGAGCTTAATCAGTGCTGTAATCTACTGTGCCGCCGGGCCTACACCTACACTCGGCTTCCACAAACTGGCCTATACAAACAAAGCACGCTTAAGCAGGAGCGGGTTCGTAGAGCTATAGTAGAGCTACAGTAGCAGCGCAGCCTACTCCTGGAGCTGTTTCAAATCCCGGCCTGCCAAATGCTACCCCAAAAGTTGCTGAAGAAATGTCGATTTCTCATCTTCCTTAGACTATTCCGCATTACCGATTCATAATATATCATACTTCATCTGTGTAATTAAATGGGTTCAACACAGGACACTCAGCGCCACACTGCAAGGCTGGCTCGCCAAGTCGTTCCTTGCACCTAGTCAGGTTTCGCGTGCCACCTCTGTACCCTCAGGATAGCAAGGATTAAGAACTTGCTCTAGTATGCCAAATGATTCTTAGACTTGCGAGTGAGGCACTGGTTCCAGCCAATCGAATCTGGCAGAATTGTCACAACATCAAGGATGCCCTTCATGACCGCCATGCCTGGCACACCCGGTTCTCTCGCAAAGATTTAAAAAAATAAATCATTACAGGTTTGCACAAAATGATCCGTGAATAGAAGTGCCAAAACACCGGTTCCATGCAAAGCCATGCTTGCAAATTTGGGATACAGGTCCATGTCTGCACCCGCAGACAAACACACAACCCCGTTCCTGCCCCTTCAATCACACTTCCAAGATCCATTGTCATGACAAGTTCTTGCCAGGGTGCAGCATGCAATGAGGAAAGTCTTGTACCACAAACCAACATGAAACCTCTGCTTGTAGGATGAATAAACAAAGGCCGACCTCGACATACAAGCCAAGGGCTTCGAGGCTCTCATGCGTGTTTTGCACTGATTGCGCCTCTTCAAATCTATGTGGAAACGTGTGGAATACTGAGGGTCTTGCACACAAAGTGCGGCTGGAATGAAACCTGGTGTGTGGGCATCTTTCTGCACTCCCCAGTCAAATGCCTTTGAAGACTCTCCCGCAAAGCTGCAATGAGAAGGGCTAATGCAAAGTTTCCTGTACAAAATGCCTGAAAGATCAAGGATGAACATTGGAATTCTGACATTGCCATCACGTACCTGAGCGGAGACTCAAGAGAAGGGCCAGGGAACAAAGCTGACCAAAGGCGAGAGCGTCGCAAGAATTTGAGAGCATTGACAAGCATGACACCTGGAAGACTAGTGTGATTAGAGACTGTCTGCAAAGTACAACCTACGGCGCGTTTGCATGTGGGGGCGAGTTATGGAATATTTGCTGACTCCTTGATGCGCATCATTTATGATAATTAATATTCACATGTCATAAAGCATACCGTACATGAGTGGTGAAGGGGGGCCACGAGTACGCCCTGGATAACCAGCAAGGGTGTGGCCAAGTCCGGTCCCTCCAAATTTCCCCCTTCTTGATTTCGCTCACAGCCCCCCAACCAAGGCCAAACAGATGGAAGCCTCACTGCACGATTTCTGACTGCGGTGCTTTCAAGGAACAGCTTCGTTCTCATTGTCTCCCGAACTTTCGTTGCCAGCACTCCTGAATCAGCTTCGGGGCATTGCAACAAGCACAATGTCAGAAAGCCTTGGGACAAGCCTTCACAAAATGCATGTTTTCCTCCCCCACCATCCACTACAGCAAGGCACGCGCTTGGAAGTCCAGAGTTTAACTGCGTTGAAGTGCAGCTGGTTTCGCTTTGCGGTCACCAGCCGCAACACAAGTCACCTCACCGCACCACGTGCCAAATCTTTAGGTGTGGGTGGGTGGGCAAAGCCAGGGAAGGGTTTGCATTCCCTCCCACCCTCCATTTATGGCACTTATTTACCATGTCCATCAGACCACTCTGGTCTTCTAAAACAAGCCTTCACAAAACGCATGGTCTTTCCCCCCCCACCCTCCAAAGAGCGAGCCTTTTGCTTGGAAGTGAAGAGCTTACTTGCGTTTGCGCGCGCTCTCACCAGCAACATAAATCACCTCACTCGCTTCGCCGCGGCTCTCGACCTCCTTTACACATTTCTTGCACTTCCTTTGGTGTAGTGCAAGCTGGGATTGGAGCGCCACCTTTGAAGAGCTTCTGCTGAAAGGCCATCCACACAAGGCTACCCATTCTTCAATTTGCACACCACAGTTTGCTCCGCCCTAAGGAGGGCTAGGGCTGCACTCAGTTCGTCGTGAGGTAGCCGCTCATATCTTGAAGATCTTGTATCACTGGTTGGGCTTGCGCGATCATCAAGCGCAAAACCCTTGCCCGAGCTTCTTTGGATGCGGGGAGTCTCCCGGTTGCCAGGGATTGTTTTCGGCCTTGCCGCTGTGTTCTCTGGTTGTCTTCTTGCTTTGGAGGCGGAGTGGATCTGGCAGAAGTAGTTCTGGATCTTTTCTGACTGGGCTTTTCCGAGTAGCAAACCTCTTGCTATTGCCCTTTCCATCACCTTCAGATCTCTTTGGCGCAGCCAACCCTTCTCGCTCCGCCGCCACTCTTTTCCTTTTTGCAATTCTGTTGTCTCCATTTGCCTGTCTTCTTCTCACCCCTTTCTCATCACCATCACCACCGTCTACAGCAAGTCCCGGAAGATGAGCCGTGGCCAAAGCTTCAGCTGGTTGGTTTGGTGCACCATGCGATCCACACGCCATCCAACCCGCTGCAGGATGACGCACTTGCTCATTCCAATATTTGTCATCCAAAGCCACCATCCTAAAGCAAGTTGCGCAGGGTGCATCATCTGCGTATTCCCTGAACTGAAAAAACTGTTTCTCCATCGCCTATGTCCAGAACAATGGTTCTCCATGTCTTGTCCAGCTTTTCAGTTCTCGCCCTGAGATCAGCTTGAGCGATCAGTCCCCATGCTTTTGGCCATTGCAGCACCAGCTTCTCAATCACTGCACAAGCCTAATGTGGCAATGTTGAGGGAGATGCACGTTTTGAACACGTGCCAACACACTAGCCATTGTTGTGGGTTTTGAGGTCCCGGCAGCTCTGTCATCAAATAGGATCCATCCCCCCAATAGCATGAACGCCCAAATCCCGCCAAACGGCGGCCAGATGGCAAAGTCCACGTAGGGGGGGCTGCTTCAACCTGCCAACGGGGCATCCGTTCCTTCTTCTTCATCTTGAGGAGGAGCACCCATCACTGCAGTCCCACTTGCGCCGCTTGCATAGGCGTCAGGTTGCTCATAGGTGTCAGGTTGTCACCTGAAGTGGAAGCCACTTAGTCCAAAAGGCATAGCTGCTAGTAGCTAGTAGCCGTAGGTCGCTTCGAGGGCTCCAGCCACGGCAGTGAAAGCATCCCAAAAATTCATCATCAATCAGAAGAATCCCAGGAGGCCCGGGATGATGTTGCACCCAACCACCTCTGTGCTGGGCAGCAACACAATGAGCAAACAGGGAAGGGTATGCCTTCCCCCCCCCAGACTCCATTTATGGCATTTGCTTGCCATGTCTAAAGCAAGCCGGACTTCCACGGTCGCATTGCGTCCAGTACGCTATAATTAGTTCAAGCATGCGCAGTTTTGTTCGCTCTAGCTGCCTGGTATTGGAGCCTCCTGGTTGGTTTCCGGTGGCCAAACGCGCTTGGCTGCAGCTGGATTTAATGAAGGTTTTTGTCAAGCTGTTCCGGTGCCTACAAGCAATCATTGGAGACTATCTCTCTCTCTCTCTCTCTCTGTCTCTCTCTATACTCTGTATTTCTAGTTTATAGAATGTAGCTTCGCGTTTTCAATGAAGTTTGGCAGTGGAGCGGGCCGTTGCACACTTGTGTACTGTCCGGGTAACCTGCAACACAAAACACAAGTGCTTCCACTATAATTTTTTGCCATTGACGCCCCTCCTGCACTTCAGCACAACAAGCGTCATATCATCCTACACACAAATTGTCCTGGAAACATGTTGTGAATCAGGACGTAATGCGTCATACAACTTTTGTGCGCAAAGACAGCTTCGTGGCTGGGAGAATGGACCTATGCACGCCCTTAGGACAACAGTTCACACACGCGCAGAACCAACGGTTGGAGAAAACATGTACTGGAAAATTGAGCGCTCGCAACGCAGCAGCAAATCAATCAAATCAAAGCTGCAGACAAAGTAGAAAAAAGGCGGCGCCAACACTACACCGGCAAAGACCTTTGCTAGCATTTGGGATAAGAAACATCCCGAGTCCTATCTACGTCGTCGCTCGGCCTCTTACTCGAACGAAGTGTAAGTACAAAGCCGATAACCAGTAGTAGTGCAATGGTGTCAGGGAATTGTTCCATAATGAACAGAAAATGAGTTGCGATCATGGCCTGACTGCCTAGCTTCAGAATTCCAGGCAAAAGGCGGCGATCACAACCCGCTTTGAAAGGATTTCACTAATTTCACATCAAAACTTGCTTCCTAAGGTTTAAGGGCTCCAAACTTCCAGGAAAAGTTGCAACCAGGGCCTGGTTCTAAAAGACGCTAATATATCTGATCTGAAGAAGACAAACAAAACGAAATCGATGAATGCATGCGCATGTATAGTTGGGAGTTTCCGCGAAGTTGAGCCAGATTGTCGCATTGCTTTGCAACTGCAAACGAAAAACGCTGCAGCCAAGTGTCAGAGCAACAGTTCGGGCTACCAAGTCAAATAGTTCCCCACCTGCAAGACTCATCAGATTCATTAGATTCAAGGAACCAGCCAATCGGAACCACTACAGCCTCTTGCAACCTGATGTCTATACTATACCTCATGATTGAAGCGTTTTTACAGAAGTGCCTTCCACTTCATGTAGGTCAGTGCCCTCTGGAAGTGCGCCTTCAATTCGCTCCTTTCAACAAATGACGGACAAGCTGAAAACCTATCCGAAGTTGACAAAAACCTGGCACTAGCTTGGGTTGATGCGTCGACGACACCCACGAAAGACTTGAGACTTAGGAGTCGAATTGACGCCGCAGCCCGTCCATGTACCGTACGTAGAAAGCTGTGCCAATGTGCAGCATGAAACTCTGGAAGGAGAAGCAGAAGAAAAAGAGCGCCATTGGAAAGACCACGTACCAGGCCTGAGGGCATTTCCAAAGTGGCGGCCCAAAAGAAAGAACCAATAAAAGCCTCATCCGCATAAAAAGTGTTGCGCGCTCTTTGAAAGGACTATGTCACGCACCATCAAGCTTCACACTGACCATGGCAACCCATGCGCAAATTCTCTGCAGATCTCGAGGGAGGCACCACGAATTTCCAGAGACATTCTACGCATATGCCCGTGTGAAATGCAATAACTTCCTGGAGGACCTATGATGATCAAGAATTGCTCCTAGGTGCCTTAAAGGGTCCCCCACCTCACAAAGACTGTATGAAAAAGGGTTGCCTGGGCAAGCCCGCAGAAACAGCTTAGACTTGCTAGATGTCAGCCAAGATCATGTAAAACTGTAAAATTGAAGGGGGTCCTCCAACCCAAAAAATACAGAAAAGGACGTGATACGGGTGTGTGTTGTTCTTGAAACCCCTTGCTTTAGCACTTTGCATGTTGAAGGTGTTCAGGCGTTGAGGATGAGACCTCGTCGTTGGAAATAGCTTCCAAGGCAACGGTTTGGTTTGTTGTTGGTAGATGGTCGGTCTACTGGTCGGTCTGCTAGTGAGTAGTAGTCTTGCTAGTTCATCGGATCTTGCGGAGGTCGGCAAAAAATTATAGGACCGGATAACCCCACATGTTAACAACTTCGCCAGACACAAAAAAACCCTGTAGCAAGAAGAAGAAGAAGGAGAAGAAGAAGAAGAAACGCGATGACAAGAGAGGTAGAGGAAGGAAGAGAGTGAGGGAGCGAGCGTTGATGGGGTTGGTGGTTGTTGGTTGGTGGCAGCTGCTGAAACCGGTACAGCGGCGGCGATCCAGTCACATCACAAGCGCAAAAGCTGTCGCCAGTTGCTAGCTACACGCAACTGCCTGTGGCATAGCCGTCCCTAGAGCATATAGTTTTATGGTTTGTACAAAATGCATCGCAACGGAGGAAGGGGGCATGGCGGCATGTGCAAAAAGCTGCCGCCAACGCAGAAACGTCGCTGCGTAGAAAGACTGCTTCGTTTCGGCGACAGAAGGCACACTACAGGTGCAAAAGCTGCCGCTGGCGCAGCAACGTTCTGCTAGGTACACGCACCTGCCTGCGGCATTGCCGCGCAAAGAACATACAGTTCATGGTGTATCAGCCGAATTCTCCGCAATGGGGACATGACCCACACCAGAAAGAAAGTCCGCTTCGTAGCGCAACTGCCTTTGACACTGCAGCCCATCGAACCTTTGGTGTGGAAAAAACTGCTCTGCAGCCGAGCAGAGGCCACACCACAAATACAAAACCTTTTCCTTGCGCAGAAACGTCCTACTGGGCATGTGCAGCCGCCTGTGGCCTTGCTGCACGCACACCCTGCCGCGCGCTGCGTAGAAAGACTGCTTCGTAGCAACGGCACAAACAAGTTGTTGCGAAGACGGCGTCCTGCTAAGTACACCCAACTGCCTGTGGCAAAGGTGCACATGGAACACTACAAGTGCAAAAGCCGTTGCCCGTGAAGAAACGTCCTGCGAGGCACACGCACTGCCTGCGGCATTGCTGCGTAAAAAACATTTTGTTGTCTTATGGTGTGAGGTTCCAAGGTGGGACCACCAAAATCATGCCTCCGATATGTTTGTTGTCTGCCACTGCCCCACCCCTCCGAACGCAGCACTCAAGGAGGGAAATCCGGCTTTCAAGCCCTGTAGACTGTAGACAAAGTGCACCACTTCCAGCCCAGAAAGCACCCAAGTTCCACAAAGCACAATTCCGGTTTTGGAGTGGTGTGGACAAACTGTGCACCACTTGCAGCCCCAAAGATTGAACCCAAACTGCATTCTGCTGTTGGAATCGCAGGTAACGCGTGTGTGGTCACCACAAATCATCACAAATCACCATCAATTACGCAAACACACCATGTACCAACTGCAATAATCAAAGGATACTCCCCTGCAAACGAACATGGAACCCCAAAACCACTACGGTGTATATAGAGGAAAACGGTCTTCCATCGGTCCATTTTCGGGTTCGATCTTAGTTTGCGGGGTGGTATATTTGCAAAAGGTTTGAAACCATCACAACCCATGCAAACCGACCACAACTTCACCAGGAGGCGGTTTCTGGGCTAGAACAACGCCGCCTTCGATATCTATGCACCTCCACTATCCTTGTAAATCTCAGATCAGTTGTGCCGACAAGTTGCTTTTGTCATGGCATCAGTCTTGTAGTTGCTCTCGTCCATCTCCTGGACATCCGAGTTTTGTCACACCATGGCACCCAAAAGAAAGAAGCAGGCGGAAAGGAATTCACAAGAAGGCATTGAAGGAATTTGTATAGCCGGTTAACACCTAGGATTATGGCTTTGTTGATTGCGTTGACATCTGAACCTGCGACAACGGGATGGATATCTTTCAAACAACAATCAAAATGCAATAATCTCCACTCCGCACCCTAGCCCTAGCCAATAACCAACCATGCAGAGTGGAAGCGCAATGGCATAGTGTGATATCATTCCGTTGATGCCAAAATGGAAATCATCGAACTCTCTCAAGCTGAAAGGTGTTTGATCTCAAACAGGGTTGGCGCCCCATGCATCGCGCAAGAATGACTTCATGGATGCTGTTTGTTGCGGTGGGGGTTCGTTCAATTTGAAATTGGGTTCACTCTCCCTCAAGCTGGCCAACGGGAGAATGTTCAGTTCAGTCGAAGCCCTGCTTCCACCGCCGTTCTCATGATCCTGAGCTCTGTGATTGCACAGTGGCAGCCTGCACCCTATGAGCCTTTCCACACCTTTCCAGGCATGCTCCAATCACTCCACTGCGAAAGTAGTTCTTCCGGATGGGTTTTGGCAGCTTGTGAGGATGGCAAAAGGCGTCACGTCGTCGGATCCAGCAGTTGGGGCCGTGGTTAGCTTGTGCCTACAATTCCAAGGGAAAGGGGACCCATGAGGCATTGACCAGAATTGCAGCAAGTAAGGCTGATATGCAAGTGTCCCATAGGACATCGAACACAGCGCAAGCAGGGGCACGGGCTCTCAGGTTGGAGGCCATCGCTACTAGGTTGGAGCACGCTGGCAAAGTCAATTCAACATATAATTACAAAGTCCACGGTGGCCATGGCACAGCAAACTTGCAAAGAGGGGTGGGCCACGTCCCTGCTCCAGGTAGGATGCGAGGGCCCTAGGTCCCTGGCACCTCCCCATGAACATGCATCATGCACGTCATTAAGCATGACGAACTGACATCTCAATGCAATTGACAATTCAATTCCATGAAGACTGCTGGCAACTAAACATTACCCTTCTCTTTCAACCCAAGTTGGGGACTGCTGGGACTGGTCTGCAGAATTGTTTCATTTCGCGGCGGATCTCGGGATCCAAGACTTTCTTGCCATATCATTGCAGAAAATCATCTGGCGAAAAATGAAAACCATCACCACGACTAGCCTGGGATGTTACTCTTTGGTCTAGACTTTAGACCCAGCAGCGGGCACGCAGGTAGCGTCTCCTGGTCAAAGTGGTATCAAACTAGTCAAAGTGGTATCTCACAGATGTTTCACATCATGGCTAAACTTGTCTCGGTCAGTTAGTTCAGCAGTTACAAAGCAAATGTCTTGCACGCAAAAAAACCTTGTGCTCACAGTTCGGGAAGATATGCTCGGACTTACTTTGCTGTGCCCGTTGCTTTTCACTTACTGTAAGACTTCCTGGATGGGTCCTGCGATTGCTTTGCAGTTTGACAAGTTTCCTTTCGATCTTACACTTGTTGTTCTCGGTACGTTTTCTTTCCCATGCCATAGACTTGAAAGCAAGACCTGCACTCGACATCACTACAGTGAGATAGTAAGCCATCATTACAGTCTCTCCTGAATTATAAATATATACCATCAACGAGCAGAGAGGGGGAGTGGTTGGCACCCCAAACATTACTGACGTTGCCTCTGCGCACTGTGACCCATGAAAACACTGCAGTCTGCATGCCATCCCCGTGCGTTTGGATACGCCATCGCCATGAAGCGGATCTCATGTGCCCTTGAATGCCAAAAACTTCTTGTAAAATGTCTCTATATTAGCCATTAGCAGGAACCAACCTCGTCGGCCAGCTGTCTAGGATACACTGATACCCTGCGCACCTTAGGGATCGGGTCACACTATATAAATCTATATCAAATAGTGGCTGAGAGCAGGAAACGCCAAATACTCTTGCTTTGAGTTCCCAATTAAGCTCCAACTGCTGAAATCCATTCGATATCCACATACCATTCTGCAGAACGGGTCAGAACTTGACTATCTCATTCTTGGACAAGTTGCGCATTTCATGTCTTCTTCAGATAGCTTTCCTTATCGACTCAGGTGCTGTGATGCATTCTGCATCAACACGACAAGAATCGGTTTCAATCGATATATATATATATGTGTAAAGCATGACAATGCTTGCCCAACCATACCTAAATGACTATGGTTAAATATGCTCACATCCATGAAGGGCCAAGTATCTGTATATCATACTGAGGGCCAGGAGTTGCTTGACATCTGTGTCGCTTTTTCCCATTGCCTTCATCATTGTGTTGAACTTTTCTCTTGTGGACTCTTGAACAACAGTCCTCTCAAACCAAAAAAACTTGGTGACAGCTCTGGGCTGAAGAGTGCCTCCGTCAGCTGGGATTGCTGTTCAGGTGTCTTGTGTGCCTTGGATGTCAAAGAAAATTGTAAAATGTTGAAAACTCATTTTAAAAAAAAAATATATATATATATATGATTGGTTGGGGATTCTGCGTCGCATCTGTCTGCATCCTTGTCACCAGATATTGGTCAATCAACTTTCTCCAAGGCTCATCCTTGGATCAATGAAATGCCAACGGAACGGCCGGGATCGACTGACTGACTTTATCAGCCTTGTGGAGACTTGAGGCTACCCTAAGCCAGTGCATTGCAACAGCTGTCTTTCGAAAGGGGGAATCACATAATTGGCTCTTCAAATGATGCCTGCAATCCAAACACAAGTGGCTCACACACACACTCCCACACACACTTATAGATATGCGTACTAAACTGACAGCGGTGCCACACGCCAGCCTAAGTGAAAAACCTAAGAAATCAAGGTGAGTAAGGGGAAAGCTCCACCAATCTCCAAAGCTGAAAGTTCTGAAGTCACGATCTCCAAAGCTCAACGACGGTGAGGTCAGCACTAGACAAGTACTGCAAAACATAGAAATGGAACAGTTTGCAAGCAAGTACATCAAACCGGCGTCCCGGATTGATTTCACAGATGCAACACTGGCGTCTTCGTTGGTGCCAGTCCAGTGTGCATCCCTGGCACCCCCTGCTAAAAACAATTCAAAAAGAATCCCTGTGACTACAAGGGGCACACACACTTAGGATAGGGTCGCCTCCCCAAGAAGGCGCTCTTACCTAATAGCATCCTTGCACCTAGTAGTAAGGCGAGGAGCCCCTAGTAGCGTCCCACTCTAAGGTCCCGACAGGAGGGAGGGGTAGGGAGAGAAGAGAAGACAGGAAAAAGAAGAAAGGAAAGGAAAAGAAGGTGTTCCCAGCCACGACACAAGCGTCCAAGGACACACCAAGAGAAAAGAAGGGTTCCCAGCTATGACGAAAGCATCCAGGGACACCCAAACAAGAAGGAGGGAAAGGAAAGGAAGGAGAAAAGAGAGAGAGAGAGGGAAAAGAGAGGAAAAGGACAGGTGTTCCCAGCTACGAACAAGCGTCCAGGGACACACCAGGGAGAAAGGGGTGAACCTGAGTATGACATTCAGGAACACCCCAAACAAGCGAAAGGGGAAGAGAGGGGGCGGGGGGAGGAAGGGGGACTAAGCTCTCGACAGGTTCCAATGAACTTTGAACAAGCTTTGGTCGCTGCGACCACGTACGGCTTGCCCGAGGGCTGCCACCTTTGACCGCTGCGGTCACGTAAAGGCATGAGCCAGCTTGGAATTTAATACTTCAGCAAGTCTTGGCACATAACTTTGGCATAAGCCTCCTGCTGTCCGCTTCGGACACCTACGTTCCCGGGCAGGGGGAACAATGGACAAACCCCCGTTCGACGGGTCCACGGGAGGCACTCTTCGGGCTCATCTTGGGCTGGTGTGAAGCCAGACACACTTATAGATATGCGTACTGAACTGACAGCGGTGCCACACGCCAGCCTAAGTGAAAAACTTAAGAAATCAAGGTGAGTAAGGGGAAAGCTCCACCAATCTCCAAAGCTGAAAGTTCTGAAGTCACGATCTCCAAAGCTCAACGACGGTGAGGTCAGCACTAGACAATTACTGCAAAACACAGAATTGGAACAGCTTGTCCATTACGTAGGTTTTCTGCCAAGCAGGTCAATCCGGCGTCCCGGATTGATTTCACAGATGCAACACTGGCGTCTTCGTTGGTGCCAGTCCAGTGTGCATCCCTGGCACCCCCTGCTAAAAACAATTCAAAAGGAATCCCTGTGACTACAAGCGGCACAAACACACTGAGTCGCTCACTGAGATCGACTTCTTCTCCGCATCAATAAGCTCTGAGACATCTTTGTGCGCCTTCTGCAGCATTTGCCGAAGTTTCTCTTGCGGGTCTGTGCCCCTTCCTGCCATAACTGCGGCAAAAAGAGCAGGGTTGTTGTTGAGAATATGAGTCTCACACTTTCGTTGAGATGTCGTGACAGTCGATTATGCACAAAAATCCCAGGGCTACTCTATAGACTCTCTATATATATATATGTATATACACATACGTACACCTCTAAATGCACATATATGCAATTTTGCTCCCAATTTGGAAAGCAAATTCAAGTGTTAGCTGGGTGGCCTCCGTGGAGCGTTTCCAAGGGGCAAGTAGGGCACTGCATCAGGGCCAGTCGAGCTTGCCAACCGTACGGATCCGTCACGTCAGGTCTTAAGGGGACGGTCATGCCTAAGATAGATACATCTGCAAAAAGTTTCTTGGCAAACATGTACCAGTAACATGTTCAATTATGAAACCTCCACCAGGATCGTCATGTCGCTGTTTGCTTCGCCAAATTCTTGCATATCAGCACTTCTAAGACATTCTTTCACTATCCTGTCACACCTTGTGGGACGCTCTTGCTTGACACTCTTCACACACCCCTTCACCTCACAGAAACGCCAGGGCGGTGTGCCAACTCGCCACTCAAGTGTGAAGGTCTGGACGGCTTACACGATGTGGAGTCAAGGACGATCAAATTCACCGAGACAATCTGCGCATTCAGGATGAGATGCAATTACAGTACCAATATAAACCCAATCCATGCCTTCTCATGTGCAAGACTCATCTGGCATACTCCTCCGTGGCACTCCTCTAGCTCACGCTTGTGTGACACTCTTGTGGGGCACTCCTTCTAGAGCGCGCTTGAATTACATTTGTAAACACTCTAGCGCGACACTCTTCGAGGCGGTTTCAAAGGGTGGGACAAAAGAAATGGGAAGCCTCCAAGGAGACTCCCTCGAAAGGAGGGGCGGGAAGTGTCACAAAAGCACATGCACCATGCAGGCCTGCCACAGCCACAGCGTTGTGCAAAACAATTCAACAAAACTTGTTCAACATCACCCCCACATGTGGCAACCTGACAGTTCACTCCCCCTGCCCTAAAGTTTTGCCCCAAACATTTCCATGATGCGCAAACTATGCTGAGACAGATCACGACAACTCAGCTTCGAAAACAACCTATCGAAAGCAAATCCTGAAGGCACGGCGACATTCAACTCCTTCCAAATACAAACCTGCAAACCCAAATCCCAATGGCCCAACGGCATGGCGAAGCAATGCCACTATGCTCGTGCCCACCCGTCTGTGGCCCGAAGGAGGGACGATATAGGAGGTCCACAACCGCGCTGCCTGCATTGAACATGTTCTACTGGCACAAAACGCTGCACCTGCACTGCCGAACGACACCAGGCACTTGGCAAGAGAAGTCACGTTCCATTCATCCAACACCTCCAAAAGCTTCCCACCACGCGAAGACCATTTTCACGCATGCTGGTGGGCAGCAAAGCAACGACCAACGAACACAACCTGACCTCCAGAGGGATATGTACAGTGCAGTAGTTATTTCTTCAACCCCCAGGCTGTTCAGTTGACGGGAAGCTCTTGTGACTTCGGTGGATTGGTCGCTGCAAGTCTTCTGCGTCATGAGCTGCTGCAGTTGCCACCATCTCCTTGGAACATGTGTCAAGCGTCCGCCATGGTTAGACAATGATTTCAGAGCCAGCGAAACATCAATCAAAGAACCGGAGGACCCCCGTCAAAAGGGCACCACCTCTGCCAGGCGTCGCGTGGCTCTCTTGATTGGAGGTCGGGCATCTAAGGCCTTGAGCCAAAACTTCATTCCAAAGTCAACGTCATGAGCCATGAGGTCACTTACCCAGAGATCATGACAAAGAGTTTACCAGGTACCATGGCACGGCAGTTCTTGAGCAAACCTGCTGCGCATGGCCTTCAGCTGTCCTGCTCACTTTGTCTGAGTCATGCAGCAAGAAGCCCCATGGCGAAGCCCCCACAGTGACAGCCTGGGTTGGGCCCTTTTCTCACTGCCCCCTCCTTCTGCAAGAGCAACCTCTGTGCAACTTGTTGTTCTTCAGTTTCTTTCAGCTTGGTTTCTTGGTAGTAGCTAGAGGTAGCTAGTAGTAGCTAGGTAGCTCGTACCTTACTTAAGCTACAAGTATGGACGCAGGATAGCTCACGCTTCAAGGAAGATCCCACTGCCGCCCTAAAGGCGGCAGGGGTAGCTTCCTTGAAGAAGCGCTCGCTACTATTCAATTGGTTCCTAGATTTTTAGGGAAGTCTAGATTCTAGATAGTCTTGCTAGAAGACGTAACTATATACGTGTCTCACTAATCTTTTAGTCATGTCCTACTTCGAGGGCCCATCTCCCATCTCCCATTGTCAAACACTATCGCTGGGGTCCTGAGGGGCGAGCATCAGAGGATGGATTGCAGGCGTCCTGACCTGCTAGCACACATCAAAGAGAATGAATCAATACTTGGCTTTGCTTGTGGCCTACCGTAGCCACCGGTGGTGCTAAGAACCGTTTACAGCACCAAAATGAGCTTCCCAATCGGCCTGCTTCCATGCCCTGCGGAGAAGCCAAATTTGGGTACCAATGCCGCTGGGAGTGGGAAGCCGAGGGGTACACCAGCAAATCCTGGAAGAGCGCGCAATGTCCGAAGAGCACAATTGGTCTGCAGTGGCTGCACCTTTCACACACTTTCACTCTTAGGAGCTCTCATCGAATCTTCACGTTGTTAGCCCGCCCTGAACATACACTTCCTGTTTAGGGTAGTTGGCTTCAGGCACCATCGATGGGCAGTACAAGTACAGAAAATATCATCGCACAGTACCTGCAATTTGTCACAGCAAATGGTGAGGTCACATTCGTGCGGGTCTGCACAACAAACCTTGGGGCGGCCGCTTTAACAACCCTGCTGGGCGCAAATTCACCAATCTCAGTGCATCTTGCACGCACCTACCTTGCAACCCTCCAAGCGAAAGCAAGACGGGCAAAAATGAGAATTATGTAAGCCCATGTTCGAACATTGTCCTGCTGCCTTACTGCAAGCGGTCACCAAATGACTCATAGAGAGAGAGAGAGAGAGTGAGTGAGTGAGTGAGTGAGAGAGAGAGAGATAGAGCAGCTCGCTGGGGGCATCAAATTATTCAATTGCCTTCGGCAAAAACTGTACAAAGACCTATTATTTCTGTCAGTTTCTTCTAAGTTTTTTGCTTGGCGGATCAATCTCCATAACCTCCAAGCTCCAAGCCTGTGTGGATGACCGCATTTCAATATGTGACAGGATGAGACGTGGTCATGAAATAGTCCACAAGCAATGCGAAGCTATACTTAGGCCAAAGACAGTGGATCCACCCTGTGCATCAGGAACTTGATCTGCCTGCGGCTTTGTAGAGCATAAATGATTCGAAGAGAAAAACAAGAAGAGCTATATATATACTCCAGCTTCCTGCCGCCTCATCAATGCACAAGACCGTCGTAATTGTTTGTATAACTTGAGCAGGGGTAAACGAAACATAGCATCAGGAATGCAAAAGGCCCGAGCCTCAAAGCAGCTGAGATGATGCGAGCACGTGGCAATTGAGGGGTGAAGTGAAGTGAGATGAGCCAGTATGGGGCTGGTAAACTGAAACAAATCCGTGCCAGACCAAGGGTGGTGGCCAGGAATGAAGGCCAAGACCCAAGGCGATGATTGATTGATACGGCAAGTCTTTTGAGATGTGACCATGGGGCGGGAGAAGGTGAGGAGAGAGTTGGGCATGATTTTTGTGAGCTGAGGCTATAGGATGTTCCAAGCAAGCACAGTAACTGACACCTGAAAAATCCATCTCCGGAACAACTTCGTGCCTAAGATGCAAAAACCAAGAATTGCGATACAGTAATTGATTTAAATCTTCGCCAGCCTGGCCCAAGGAAGCGCCACACGACCTGAGCACAATTCTTGGACCCTTTTTGTTGCACAGCCCTGGAAATCAATCGATGAATCAATCAATTACAGTTGCGTGTGAGCAGCTGTGGCCCTTAAGAGCCGGTTGCCCGGTGCGTGCCCCCATGCCTGGTAGCTGTGCTTGTGCTATCCGGTTTGGGTGGTGCGTAGGCATAAGGCAGATGTTTCGTAGGTTATGGCCCAACATAACGCTTGTGTGGATGTTCTTGGATGGAATCATCGGCGTGTGACAAGGTTGTGGGCAGCACATGGCACGCGACGTGTAGATGGGCGGTGCTCGGTGAAGACATGACAGCTACTGCAGTGTGCAGGTGTGGCAAGCTACGGCGGCATGCGATGTATTTTCAATCCATGTGGCTGGGTGCTTAACAGTCGGTGCGGTGGCTCATGCCCGACGGCCCAGTGGTGTGCACTCAATGCACTCTGCTTGCTTGAGCCACAGAGTGGGCGCGTGAGCAGCTGTAGCCCTTAAGAGCCGGTTGCCCCGGTGCGTGCCCCCATGCCTGGTAGCTGTGCTTGTAGCTATCCGGTTTGGGTGGTGCGTAGGCATAAGGCAGATGTTTCGTTATAACAGTAATTCCCAAACTGTAATTCTACACAGCTAGAGAGCACGATTGCGATATTTGTGACAAAAAGCGCATATTCTGGTAGGGCACTCATGCCTTAGCAAATGAAAAACAAATGCGGTACATTTGGGGAAAGCAAAAGTGATCGCAGAAGTGGGACTTCTGAAACAAGTCCGGTTGAGTCCTCCTGGCCCAACATGTGGGAGATTCCTGCCCTCAACGCATTGGCATTGGCATGTTCAAAGCCGAGTCCAGGGGCATGTGAGAATGCGCTCAATATGGGCAAGTGTCTCAAGATAGGAAAATCGCATCTGCATTGCGTCATTCCCACTTCACTCAATAGAGCGGAAAAACTAAGATAAGTCAACTATATACAGGTTTAAACCCTACAACACACACAAGTAGCAGCGCACGTGTCTCTCATTTCACACACTTTTGGATTGCATCGCCTTCGGTTGCCACAGCCTTCCCTCCTCGGTTTTCAGGGCTTTGGGCCCATGCTACATTGCCGACACGCATCGTCGCCGTTGTCTTTTTTCGCTTGCACTTTCTCTTTCGAGATCTTCCCACTGTAATCTCAACGTCCAGCTGCTGGGTTGCGCCCAGCAACTTGCAGAGGATCCTCCAGGTTGACCTCGGTGCGGTTCTCCTCTTTAAACAAGTTCACCCTTCTCCACCGAGATGTCGGGTCGGTCGGCCCGTACCACCACAAACTCACGCTAGCGCCTGCCTGGCACACGATAACCTACCACATAGAGACACATAGAGGGTGCACGTCCTCAAGGGATACCTTTCGTTTGGCGGGATCATCCATGAGCTCATCGAATCGTTCAAGGACACCTCGGTCGGCAACTGAGCTCGCTGCCCACCTGGAGCAGCTTTCGCACCATCGGGACAAGGCCCCATCCGAACCAACCCACCTAGGTGGCCCCAGCTTCGTGACCTCCCAGTGCAGGGGTTGCAGCCACAGGGAGAAGCCGCACAAGCAGGCAACAAAACCTGTTGGGGTTGCAGGGTCTTGTTGTGTTTGCACATCCGCTCGCCATATCAACCTCCCTACAAAAAGAGTTCCAACCCCCCATGAAGCCAGTCCCTCTCTCCCAGCCAAGCATCCGAGAGCAAGAATTGGACCACCTCAACACAACGACCAACCCCAGTAGCCTTACCTCGCACAATGTCATATTGAAGGTTTCCTGCTGGGTCGAAAGACAGAGTGGAAGGTGGAACGCCTTCCCCGTCGCATATGCACAGTGCACCCCAGAGCTTGACCGGCTTAAGCCAGCAAAACCTGAGAAGGGAGGGGGGCGAAAGCCAGCCTCCGTAAGAAGACATCAATGTGGTTATGGGGCGTTCGACAGCGCATTTGCTGTCAGGCGTGAGGAAATAGAAGGCAGAGGCGGAAAGTCTCGCATTGAGGGCCGACAATTTATACACGAGGTTTTGATCAAGGCCCATTAGTGGTTGTAGGTATAAGATAAAAGTGGAGCCCATGCGTTAGTAAAAATTGAGTTGAGCAGGACACTTACAGTCGGGGGGAGGAAGGTTGACTTGAGCAGGACGTTCCCAGGGGTGGGGTGCCCCTTTTCTTTTGGTTCAAAGGCGTTTTCATGCTGAAAAAGGGCACCCCTAAGTAAGTGAGGGGCGCTTGCCTGCCGTTTGTGGACTCATAAACATGGGGCCTCCCATCTGGGGCCCTGGGGTGGATTGGGCCCCAGAATAGTTTTTATTATTCAGGGGTGTAGGACCTACACCTGGCAAAAAAAAAATATATTCCATATGTGAACAGTTCTCAGGAATAATTTAAAGCAACTTCCCACACGCAGTCTATATGGAAACCCTGAGGGAGGCAGTTTCTTTTTATGGCAAACATGTAGTAAAGGCAAGGCCTGCACACCACAAGCTTTACTAGTACTTGCATGTACTTGCGCTCCTAGAACAAACCCAAAGATACCAACCCCTCACCAGAAGCCTTACTAGTTTTTGCTCCTGTATACAATCTCCATAACCACCAGAAATTATTCCAGGGGTGGTTCAGTTCTGGTAGGGGCCTAGAATAATATCACCTCCCCTGTTTGCTTCTATACCTAACCCAAACCTCAAGCTTTCCCAACCCATACCAGAAGACTTAATTACTAGTAATGTTCATTCTGCTCCCTATTTCCTGCGCAAGATAAAAATATTCCAGGGGTGGTTCTGTTCTGGTGGGGGCCTGGCATAATATCACCTGCCCTGTCTGTTGCTGGAAAGAAGAAACCAACCCAAAACATCAAACCTTACCAAG